CGTGGACACTCAACAAGCATGAGGTTACTACTGCGAGGTGACAACGTGATGAAATCGTCAACTACGCGTAAGGCCACGCCACGATGTTCGTTCTCGATGTCGAAATCTGCAGAAACAGTTAGCAAAGCTGACGAACAAATCACGCAGACTAATTATCACTCCATACTCTTGCAGAAAATCTATGCCCAAAATGACCGACCAACAACAATTGGGAATACAAGGAATGATGCTACAAAAGCTGACGCACCAATCTCAAGTCTGGAGGTGCACCTTCCTATAGGGGATACGAGGTGTCCTCCAGGGGTGATAAGTTGAGGGCCGTACCACGCTGTCTGCACCTTGTATAGACGGGTGGCCAATAAAGCACTCATCACTAAGTAATCAGCTCCCGTGTCGACAAGCGGAGTCACCAGATACCAACCGATGGAAATGGTAATGGCAGCGGACGTTCTGTTGGCGGTTTCAGAAACCGGCTTTAACGACATGTTGTAAGGCTGCGGCGGAGGGTACTTGTCGGTTCGCGTTACAGCGACCTCACCTCCGGACGTCGTCGTTAACAGTTTCCCCGGCGTGGGCTTGCACCACTGACACAAGGGGACCCAAAGGCGAGTCGGGGGTGGTGCGTCCATGTGGACGGATGGAGTGATGGTGACCGTGACTGTCGTCGTGGCGGGACAGGAGCGCGACGGCTACCTTCCAAGTAATCCGAAATTTCGTGCAGGCGCTCACCATAGCGGGAACAACGGGCATCTGGGAGGAATTCACGTTGGCCTATTCGTAGGTAGTACCAGTCGCGGTACATGTGTCCAACTTCGCCACAATGGTAGCACAAAGGATGATTGTCGGTTGCAAGCCAGACGATAGACTTCCGCGGGCCAGGACGAAAATTGGTCGAGAAGGCGGGCGATGGGCTGGACTTGGAAAGCGTCTGAGGGCCCGAGCAGGTGGATGAACAAAATGTGCCGTCGATGGCGTAGAGACGCGTAGGGCATCCGCGTAGAAAAGCGTGAGAGGTTCGACATACGATGGCGGGGAGGAATGAACTAACTGCCTGATTTTGTTACGAACGACGTCCGTAAGAGCAGCGATACTCGGAGAGGACGATGCATGAGATTTCCGAAGTTCATCGCGTACAACCTGCTGTATGAGTTCTGTGAGGACCTCCCTGTTATCACCTCCTGTTACAAGCGAGCATGCAGTGGATGGCCATCTAACGCTCATACTGCGGCAGCCGCTGCTGAAGCACGCGCTCCATAGTTGTGGCTTCACGTATGAACTTCGACACAGTCGTAGGAGGGTTGCACACACGGCCCGCGAAAAGCTGCTACTTTACGCCTCGCATTAGCACGCGCACCTTCTTGTCTTCTGGAATGTGGGGGTCAGCCCGTCGAAACAGTCGCGACATCTCTTCTACAAACACAACGACGCTCTCGTTCGGCATTTGAAACCACGAAGAAGGTGCCTGCTCCGCTCTCTCTTTCTGTTCGTGGTTACTGAACGCTTCGCGAAGCGGCCGGTGGAATTCCTGTCAACTCGTGAATGAAGCTTTGTGGTTCGCGTACCACACTCTTGCCACGTTGAAGTACCAGCAACCAGCCAACACAAACTTGAGAAGTAGTTTTGTTCACATTATTCTGAGTTAGTGTCATCGTCGCGAAGAGCTCCACATCTCGTTCAGTCACGACGCGTGTACGTTATTACTGATTTTAAAATTTTTCCCGGCTATGTTTTTTATTGGTATCTCGTAGATGTTGTGTTAACCAAATCTATCACACTCATCACCTCGCCTTTGAAATTTTCTATCAGAGGTCTTTTAAATAACTTTGCACTTAGAAACGCGCGCACGTGCCCTCATGATAAAGCGACCCTTACGTGAGTATTCCAGGTCCTCAGCCTCTGTTGTAAAACATGAATGAAAAGCAAAGCAAGCTGGCAAAATAATTTCATACTTGTGGGTGAACTACCTGTGAGCAATACATCTCGTCGCGCATGCTGACGAGGCGTGTACATTGTTAAAATATCATCGCAGAGTCAGTGCCGATGATACTGTGACATCCTGGCCGAGATAAATTGGTTGTATGAATGCCTTCCTACAATTTGTTCAGGTGAAACAATGTGCGTTGCAAAGAAGCTGTTAGTGCTACATCGTGGCTTACGGGGACAGCGTGATAATTACTAAAGCCCTTGTCTCGTCAATTGTGGCTCACCCTCGTGCTGATGCTGCACTGTCAGCATTGGTTACTTGTTTCATTAGTCGAAATTTTTCGTGTCCGTAACACTCGTAGCCACTGAGCCCAGACAGAGTGAACAACCAAATAGAAGCATCACTCAATATTCGCCATTTTTCAACGCAGGAGTAGGATGGGTGCGTGCATAGTGTGGGCACATGAAAGAGGCAAGTATAGGTGTGGCACAATGACGGTGCATAATTAGGTGTCAGTGTTGCTTACACGAAGCGCACAGAGGAGTCAACAAGGCTACGCGAAAGGAACGTAACGATTTGAATGTGCGTAATAGAACCACGGAGTGTGAAATTCTCGATAACTACGCCCTACAGACGAAAATATCGTACACGAGTTTGTGTCACTCCAAGTACAAGCATACGCTACATAGGTCTCAATAGAATGCGAATTTTGCTAAACAATGTAAGCACAGACGGGGACAAACTTTTCATAACACGTGCAGAAAACAGCAGAACCAGTAACTGGACGAACAAGAATCATGGGCCGTGTTCTCAAACAGGCACTCTCAGGGATTAATTTTCGATATGCTTCACAATGCTAGCACCGGATACGTTTAAGTTAGCTTCTGTTTATTCGAACCGTCGCTTCATGGGCATACTCGGGCCAAACTTGAAATGCAATTCATTTGAAGGAACCCGTGCTTATGCCCCCCCCCCCCCCCTTCCTGATGCTTGGCGTACATGTGTTATTCTAAGGCTGAAGCAACATTGATATTATTTGAAATAACGGTGCAATACAAACGTTCAAAGTTCAAGAGAACGTAATATGTCTTACAACATATTAGAAAGTGAACATCTTTGCCGCAAACAATAAAACAACGCAATGCATTAGAGTACTCACAAACTAGTGATCTCTTACAAGAATGCTTTCACGTACTAGAACAACTGCATTCTTCGGTGTGTGTATTTGTGGAGATTTGTTTTTTCAATACTTGTTCCAGTAGATTACGAAGTATGTATTGTCACATTCATTGGGACGAAACAAAACGCTCTGGTATTTTCAATTCCAATCATTTGTTTGCGTACTGCAAACCCTTTTGGCGTCTATCTATCTATCTATCTATCTATCTATCTATCTATCTATCTATCTATCTATCTATCTATCTATCTATCTATCTATCTATCTATCTATCTATCTATCTATCTATCTATCTATCTATCTATCTATCTATCTATCTATCTATCTATCTATCTATCTATCTATCTATCTATCTCTATCTATCTATCTATCTATCTATCTATCTATCTATCTATCTATATATCTATCTATCTATCTGTCTATCTATCTATCTAGCCGCCTACGACTTTTAGCTCTCTTGGCCCTTTAGTTAATGGTATCGATGCCGTATTCACATGGTTAATTTTAACTCTTCAGTGTTAAAAAAAGGCTTAAATAAGCAGTGCTGACCGAATGAATGCAAACAGCAGAAATCTAATCCTAGCATTCTTTGTGGCGATCAAGTATTTTATCATACAGCCACGCCAGACCTAAAAACCACTTTGCAAAGAGACTCTAATGTTCATGAAACGTCAGTTCTGGTTGCAATTCCGGCTGTAAAATTTTACAAACATCATATATGCACTCCTATGATCCAGCCGTCATGTCGTGTTCACCTCCATTATAGTTAGGCGCCATCCGCTGAGGTAGATTTGCGTAGCAGTGTTATGGGCTACCATCCTCGTGAGTTCCAGCGCAAACACGAGCGCTTTATATCAGCTTACCGCTTTTGATGTTGCTAATGTCCACGTGGATGTTGCATCATTTTGCAACTGCAAACAACTGCTAATATAAAACATACTAGTCTGCTCAGCGCGTCTGTAGGCTTCGATTTTTGCATATATTAAGCGCCACTATATAATGAATCCCTCAATAAAAACTTTAATCACATTTACGTTGCATGCGCATGCTTCTCATAACATCGACTCACAAGGTAGCTGGGATCTGCGAAAAGCATTTTGGTTGTGAATATGTGCTTACACCCTCAATACCAAATTAAAACCTTACAGCAGCGACGCGTAGGAGTTACCTGGTATATTAATGCTGTTTACTCTTAAAATAGAAATAGTTAGATAGAGTTCGGTAGACAATTAGTGCAGCGATTATTCGAACGCTATGATTTATCAATGCACTGCGTTCCGACGGATGCTTCATATTTGTCGCGGTACAGTTTAAGTGCTTGGTCACTTGCTTTAGAATACAAATAAGAGCCTCGTTATTGTCATTCAAGACCTTATTAAAAGGAATTACCTGAAAAAGTCTGAATCCAATCATATAAATAATGAGAATACATGCAATATTTCGGCAGGAGAAAACGAGTGATAACCCGGAATATGGTCAGCTCCTCGTTTTGTGTCCGTTATTTCTTTTGTATTTCCAGAAGCATGGTTGAACGTATAGATAATGTGTGTCCGCCGGTTGGGCGGACAGAAGTGAAACCAAGTTTTTCCTTAAGAGCTTTCAATAAAGTGAGCCAGCTGGAGGAGGTTTATCGCAAAGAAAAATATACAAGCAAAAGAAAGCTATTTTAAATCGTTTAATATACTTGTTTATTTTTCCTCTACTTCTATGATTTCGCACAAAAAAGAGGATTCCTGCCGCAGGGGTTTGCCAAATTGATAATTGTTATCGAATCACGAGGCACAAATGCACACCCAGGTGAAGATAATATGAGTCTCTCAGTGATAACTGAGGTACGCGTGTTGCGATAAGCGCAAGCCTGTCCGCAACACTCCAGGATCCCTTGAAAAGGGGCGCCTGGAGAGCACGATCATATTTTACGGCGGAATGGTTGAAGTCTCTCACTCTAAACCTAGAGACATCTACAGGTATAGCTTACAGATCGAAGAGAACAAAGAATAAATCGCACGTTTTTTCTCAGGATAGACGTTTGGAGGAAAACAGAGAAAGAAGTAATCGAGCAAGCAAAACGTTGTTCACAAAACGAGTTCAACATCGGGTTTTCGATCTCTGTGTACGAGTGTACAACGGCGGTGCCCAAACAAATTGATGGGGCTGTCTGACATTACACGGTTGACTGCTGCACTGTGGATCTTCTGCAACAGCGTCTATGGAAGCAACAAGGAGCCAAACATGGTTCCCGGTCGAAGCGTGATCGTGCACTTGTTCGAGTGGAGGTTTGATGACATTGCCGAAGAATGCGAGACATTCCTTGGACCACACGGCTACGGTGGTGTTCAGGCAAGTTGCTAATGCACTCTTTATTTCCGCCTCTCTTTCTCAGTGTATATATATATATATATATATATATTCTGACAATTTCTGATTATATATATATATATATATATATATATATATATATATATATATATATATATATATATATATATATATATATATATATATATATATATATATATATATATATATATATATATATAAGGGAAAGAAGTGTATACCTAAGGGCTCGTTTTTCCGTGTTTTAACACAATATGATTGAGATCTAACAAACAGTAATGCCAAGGAATGTACAGGGGATATATAGATGAGATTTAGCAGGCAGTATTGCCAAGGAATGTATAGGCGATGTTATTAGAACCATTGTAAATTAAATAGGAAGAAAGAAAAGTGGGTGAAAAAATAACTTGCCGTGAGCAAGAATCGAACCTACGACCTCCGAATTACGCGTTCGATCTGATTAATATTGTGCCCAAACACGGAAAACAAGCCCTAAGTATACACTTCTTTCTCTTATGTATATATATATATATATATATATATATATATATATCTGCCATACAAGGCCCATATATAGGTTATATGTGGCTGCATATAAGCATATATCTCAGCATATGTGACTTCCATATACCATATATGAATGTATATCTGGCGTAGTCGGTTCATGTATGGGGTTATATACAACCATTTATGACGCGGTTGGCCTATAAAAGGAGTCAAATCCGGCCTTAAAAAGGCACGGCCACACCATATATAACATATAAGGTGAATCCTTATATGTGGAAGTGCTCCCTTATAAGGGATGAAACACGTATATATTTAGCACCATGATCACACTTTTATACGGATTGCAATACATAACAATTTGTTCACAAAGCTGACCTGCTTTTTTTCTACAACAATAGGAGTATTAATTATATATGTTATTTTTGCCATGCAAAAAAAAACCGAAATTTCAGGTCAGCTTAGTGTACGTGATAGTTGCAACTCTGTTGAATACATAAATGCATGAATTCGTGTAATTTAACTCGCACATTTTTCATGACATTTAGGTTGGAAACAATAAGTTGCAATTAATACGACGTAAATAATGTATTCGAGAGCAGACATGTTATACGAGGAAGGAATCGTGTCAGGTCACAATTGTATTGAAGCTTCCGAACCTCGCTATTATTATAGAGCAATCCTATAAAGTATTATGTAAAAACAAAATGCATGCAACTTATATTGTTCACTATAATGCCTTGTTTGGAGTGACAGCAAGAAATAGTCTTTCAATGCACTTTTAGCTTCCACATCGGTGGACAAAATTTCTGATTGTTTGAAGGTTTTGATGGCTATAAGCTCCCTTCATATAACAAGATTTCAATTAATCCTGTTGACCCCTCATCTGCGGTTGCTTTCAGTAGCCATTTCCCATATTTACATGTGCAGTGCAATGTTTAAGGGAGTAGTTTAAAAACATAAAAGAACTTACGTGAATGCAACTTACAGGCGCTATTATGATTTCATTCTAGATGGAACTTGTACTAATTTATTGCAAAAATACATCTTGCGTTTCCTTTGGCTACGTATAATGTTCTTGGCTTTGGACATTGTACATTTATCGAAAATGTTATGATTGCACTAGTAAACAATTATTTTGGTGTAATGTTTACAAGCGTCAAATAAATCTCACGTCATACACATGTACGTTAAGAAAGGTGCAACTGACTCACACGTGATACACAAATAATGGACCATGTAATGAAATCTTGAAGCTTTAAAGCAACATTTACCGTAGGCTGCTGAATTCACAAAATTTCTATTTTGTGTGCGAGTGCCATTACATGGTCGAGGTCACTAATGCGCACGTGCCATCATCAAGATTAGCTTGAACATTTCCTTGCAAATACAATTAGTATGACACATTTTCTGGGCTGGCGTGATGCCTAAGCCAAGCTCTACGTTATGTAAACAGCCCCTTTCTGTGCAAGCGCGTAATGATTAAAACTGCTTGCGAACATATCCTTTCAACACCAACACTGTAGTGCATTTACCTATAAGATATGTATGCCGGTACATACTCACCAAACTGCGCGATTGCACACTCGCGCACCTGAACACTAGCATATCATTCAATGTGGCCAGATATTTTCGTCCATGTCAGAAATATATGAGTGTATTATTATTATTTTTATTATTACTATTGTTGTTGTTGTTGTTGTATCTCGCAAAACGTCCAACGTTTCAATTCTATATGCTGTCAATACTGTGTCGTTATGTAAATTTTATGAGATTAGGGGTCTTGGTGTTCTTTTTGATAGCATGCTGAATTTTTTCTACTTGCATTAAATGTGCTGCCATGCGAGGCCTTCGTTCTCTCACAGTTGTCTCAACATCTCTCAAGAATCCGGTTCTCCTAAAGCCTTCTACAAATTGTACACAGCGATATGTCGTGCTAAACTTTAGTACATATACATATATGATTTGGAATGGCCTTGATAAATTCAGCAGTAGCGCCACTGAGTGAGTCCAGAAATATTTCATAAGCATTTACCTCCGTCGTGTCACTAGAATCCTTTCAACAGTCCTGGAATATTACATTCGCCATCACCTAACGGCCGACAAAATGGCCCTGAGCTGTTATTTCTTTATACAAGCTGGTTCAGGGTGAGATGTTCTGCAATTCTCGGTTTTAATAATTTTCAAACTCCGCGTAAGTTATCCAGAGAGAATCGACCGTTCCATGTACCTGCCAGCTTCTTTCAACACTCTATCCTTTACAGAATACCCAGTCTCTCTAACGTCAACTTTCTTTATTTGTTATGTTTTTCATAGTCTACAGTCATTTTTTTTGTCAGTGAGGGCTGCCATGTCCTATTGTAGATTTGCACATGCACAGATTATTCCCTTTTCTGTCTTTAAGGAAGCCGTCGACATGGTTGTGTATATTCCACATTATTTTTCAGTCCCACTCCATAAATATCTACTCTTTTTTTGTTGTTCCCATTTTGCGTTGATTTCTTTTCGACTGCTCGTTATTGCTCTATTTATTGATTTGCTTTTTTGGGGACAGTCTGTAATGTATTGTTTATTTTTGTATTATTTTTGCGCGCGCCAGCACGGAATACTTTGAGGTTGTTCTTTGATACGTTAAAAGTTATTGAATGATTATTGGTTGTTTGAATAATATTATTATCCTTATAAATGCTTGAGAAATAAGATGAAAATTTGGCTTAAACGGGTCTTGGTAGCCAGAGTACACGAAGCAGTGATTTCAGCTCCACGGAATGCCTGTCTCAAAGGTCCTGCACGTGCAGCTTTCTGGGCCCGCGGGAGGAAGTTGAAGTCCATTGTCCGAAAAAAACTCGCCTGGCTTCACTTCAGCTACTGGCAATGTTTCAAGGGGTGCGCACAGTAAAAAATACAAAAAAGGGCGCCCACCGGAGGGGTGCATAATTCGGAGAACGTTGTTCGAAGAAGCGCGCGTAGGCACCCTGCAGCCCTGCCGTGGCCTACACCAGCCTGTCAACACAGCAGGAAAGAGAGTGCTGCGGCCCATTTCAAGTGACGACGAAGAAAATAGTTTGCGCAAACATTCAGTCGTATGGTAATAATATTGCGTCAATAATTGTTTAAAAAATGAAACGTCGTTAGCCAATAAGCTCAGAAAAGTTTAGTTCTAGTGAAAAGTGCGTAAATCATTGATCTCAATGAGTAATGTAATGTTCAATGTCAAGCCTGTATGCACTGTATCCATCCGCGCCATTGTTGCTTTTTTGCTCGCCGGAGTCATGGGTGCAGTGCTGATCGAGTTTGTCAATTTTCATTCCTCTTGCTCATATTTGGTGTTCAGCTACTGCTCCAATTTACACAACATAATTGCGCAGCTCTCAGAAATATACTTCGCTGTACGTGCATGGCGAAATTGTGGACGGACGTGGAAGTGTTTTGCGTGCGTGTGCGTATGTATGCCGCTGGGTCGGCGATTGTCATCTTTTCGTGCGAAAAAAAGGACACCCACGCTTGCGGGCAAGCGTTCTTTCAAAACTTTTTCCTTAAGCAGTACGAATAGACGTGGTGGCTTTATGGTGTGAATAAGTTATCAGGATTAACAGGCTCCTTGAAAGACAAGTCTCGGTTAAATGTTAAAATAAGTTCATCATTTTCATTACCTTTGCACGTTTTTCATAAATATTATAACTCGAAAACATAGCGCATTGCCTGCTTGCTGAGTAAATAACTTCATGCTAATCGTGGTTACGTCATTGGGCTGTTTTGTTTAAGTGATACGACAACACGTTCTTTTTTTTTTCACTTGATCCAGACAGTGCTCTATTTAATCAAAAAATCTATGCCAGGAAAATGTGGGTTTTGTGCCATTGTACTTTTAATAAATATATTGATGTAAATATACTTGTGTTGTATTTTTCTCAATTTAACGCTTGAGAAATTTTCAAGGATAAATTACAACTTGCGCCATTACAAATAAAAAACAGTTGCATATCTCCAAGTCCAAGGGTGTCATGAGATTTATGAGCCCGCGTTTAAATTTGTCTTGCGTTTGAATTTATCTTTCTTCGTCAACGTTCTCCTTGTTTTTATATTTACGTGTGTTTTGACAAGGACACGCAGTTAAAATTTTGTTGCTAGTTTGACTCTTCAAAGCAGGGTGCAATGTCACGAATCCAAACGTAAAAACTTGAGAATAGCCCGTAATTTCGTTTCCATCATCTACAATTAGGGTGATATAAGTGTAAATTTCACTGGAATGCGTACATCACAGGCAACATTATCGTTACTAATGTCGCAACATCGCGTGGTTATCTTGAGGAACTGCGCATACCCGCATACATAGTTACACAAAATAATGTGATGTCAAGTTTGAATCCGTGAGCACTGTAGATAGTTTTACGCAAGCCGACAAATAAACTGGTCTGATGCATTAGGGCTTGCTGCTGTGCGAAAAAAAAACTGGGGGACCATTAGGCTCCGTTTTTCATAGTTGAACGTTATAGCAGTATCGATCCTGTTTCTTGTGCCTAATTCAATCACTCAGTGTGTACTCTTTATTGCATGATGCTACTTGAACAATTTTAATTGTGGAATAGTACTGTGTAATTGAGAATTTTGAAAGTGTCTCATTGAAGGTTTCGCACATGGCTGCATTTTGTGTAAAAAAGGAGTAGCATAGTTTAAAGAACGAGAAATATTATGTAATTACTGAGTTGCGCGAAAAAATTGAAATACGAAAGGAAGACACCTATACACAGCACACACTGACAACCTAAATTTTGTTGAAGAAAACAGACATATATACGCGGTTACGAGAACACGTGCAGTGAAAGAAAATGATTAGATGAGCAGACAGATTGTATAAACGATGCTCTTCCAGAAAAGTTACCTCAGTAGCAAGCAACATAAGCGAGAGTTACGTGACACAAGAATCCCCCATTTTGTTAATGAAATACGCCTCTTCAATTTCCCGTGCCATACCGTGTCACTGAATCTTGCTTTAACTACCGTATCATCAAACAAGGGCGCGCAGCCACACTCTCTACAAAGTGATGATTGGTTAGAGAATGGTTGTCTCTTTAGAGAAGCTTTGTGATCTACAATTATAATATTGAATCATAAATAGCACTTCCTACACGACAGCGTAGTGCCCTACACCACAGGATGTCCACACGGTGAAAGAAAATCATTATATGTCTGCTCATCTAATTATTTTTTCCACCTCACGTGTTCTCGTAAGCGCATACATATGACTGTTTTCTCCAATAAAGTTTCAGTTGTTAGTGGGCGTTGTGTCCAGGTGTCTTCCTTTCGCACTTCAAATTTTTTCGCGCCGCTAAGTTAAGATGAACTACCAACTCACCCAGCAAAACGTGCTTCTCAATATTATGTGTGTAAAATGTTTTAGAACTTTATGCACCCACTACGCAGTCGTGAGAGAATACACGCAGTAACGTGTGTGCCTTTTGTAATGGTTGGCTGTCTTTAGACCGCGAAGTCACGTTGGTGATAACGTGTTGTGATGCCCGATGATATTGCGCGCTTGCATCACGCAATATAGCTGTGATATTAGATGTTGTGTTGTGAAACCTGTATGCAGGATACATGTATTTGTTAAGCATGACAGTTATTTTCCTTGCGTTTTCAAAAAGAGGAAGTTATTCATGCTTTATTTCCAAGCAGGTGTATACCTGTGTGGTAGAGCATTTGCTTGCCATGCAAATGGCCTGCATAATTTCGGTCATCACTCAAACCCGAAAATTTATAATATTTGCGTTATTTGCACTCTCTCAATTTTTGATCGTGGACAAGACGATTTTTCACTGAGAGCCACCGATGCCTACGCCGGCATAATTTCAGAACGAGCTCTTTACCGCTGTTACGTTAATGATGAATTATTCGCAGAACGGAAAGTGGGTTACGTTTACAAAAGACATTTTTAGTGTCCCGTTGGCAAGAAACATCGCTAAAAGCCTCCATTCCCACGCTCACACAGACCTATAGACACCAGTTTTAGCAGTCATTCTATAGGCCATTGTCACAATACTTGCACATGACAAGCTTGCATACCAATCACTTTTGACCAAACTCCTTAAAAGTTGATTATCAACTCATTTAAGTTATTCAATGCACACGCAGTTCATATGGTCAACAGCAAGTCAATATTTCGTTTTGAATCCTTATGGACGCTTCATTAACATGCCAGAAAATGTTTTAAATCAACACACTGTGAAAAATATCTTTATGAAACTCAAATTAATTTCTTTTATGCTATTTATTATTGTCAAGTCGGAATCGATAAAGTGGAATATTTTCTTGCACCGTACTATGTCTCAGACCGTGTTAACCATAGGTTGAAGATAAGAAAAATCGCAAGCAAGACTGACGTATTTCAAAATGATTTTTTCCAAAAAATTTACAGGATGGAACCGACTGCCTTCTAGCATTGCCTCTTCACTCTCAAATGTTTGTTTTATTCCATGTTAGAATTAGTGTGTTGCATTTTTGGGGAGTGTCTCATTTTTTATTTATATATGTATTTCTCTTGCAGATTGTGATTCAGATGACTTTGATTATTTGTTTGGTTCGCTATGTATTTTTCGGATTCTAATTTTCATAAATGCTCCCCCACTGTATTGTCAATTGGTGCTGTGGGTATTGAAATAAATAGATAAATAAAAAGTGTCCATAAATGAGCAATATTTTTAAGCACAAAGAATGTATCTTTTTAGGGAAAGTGGACTAACAGTGACATGTGTCCACCACAAACTTTAAGTAAGATGCCAAGTTACATTTTTAGCAGCTAGTTATTGAGAATAACTCGAGATATAGTGAGGATAACCTAATTTATCAAGAATGTTAAGGGTGTAATTACTGCCTTTGTTTTGGAGATAATGGTGACTGCATGCAGACCTTTCAACAAACAGCTATATTTCTAGCTGAGTAATGATTTGAGCAGCTATAATTTTTTCCGGCGACACAGGCTGAACTATTATAGATAAATCATCTGAATGGCTTTATATAAAGGTATTCATATAAGGTCATATATGAAAACATCCATATAAGACCTTATATGGATGCTTCTATACATAGCCACATAGGGCCATATACAGCAACACCCACATATTGGTATATAAGGCCCATATATGGTGATTCTATATAAAGCCAGATATAAGCAATTCCTCACGTAGCCATATATGGGGATTTTTATATAAGTCCATATATAGGATTTTTGTAAAAAAATTAAGATATATATATATATATATATATATATATATATATATATATACACATGGTCTCATGCACATGCTTCATCGTTTCATTGTTATTTCTTTCGTGTTTGGTATATCATTCATTGCTCATATACACGTCTTCTCACAAGGCTGGCCGAAAAAATAGTTTTGACGCTATATAGTTGTACTAACATAACCCACAATATGAGCCATAGCCCAAAATAATCTATAAGTTAAAAAGGCATATCTGAAAATAGCGAGGTAGCTTTTCTATTCAGTGGCAAGCTCCTATGCAGCTGCGAAGACATCTTTCCGACAATTATGAGTTCTAGCTCGTTCGACGTACCCAACGTCCGTAAAGTCATTACCTACGTCTGCACAAGAGCGCCATTTATTGCATTGAGCACGTTTGGAGACCATCCGCTCACTCGCGCTGTGTGAAAGGCAGCGTCAAATCCCACGCAACGTAGTTACTAAATCTGCGTGAACAGTAATCAAAGTTGCTACTGACATATAAAGGACGATCCGAAGCCAGGTAAAGAAAAGATAAAGCTAACACGCGCTACGCAAAAATAATTTCTCTAAATGATTTTACGGTGAGTGATGTCAAGTAAGGTGTCCATCGCTTCCACTATGGCAACAATATGCTCTCACAAAAGCAGGCCCATAGCTAGGGAGACGAGGTTCCCTGGGACTAAGTTACCAAAATTCCGAAAGTGGGCGTTGTTTCACCGAGAATCAATAATAAAAATACACTTTTTTCAAATCTTTCAACAGGTTACTCTATTCCATAATGAAAAAGTTCTTATCTAGGCGCCTGCACGAAGACTATGGTAATGATGTATAGCTAGTTTTACTTGAGGGAAAAATGCTTATCTGCTATTTTATACTATTCACTAGAGATACCAAATTGATACTGTCTATCCAGAGACCTAAATTATAATAATATTGGGGCTTTACATTACAAGACCATGGTGTGGGTATGAGATACGCCGTTGTGAAGGGCTCGAAGAATTCAGGCCATCTGATGTTCTTCAAGATGCACTGATAAAAGACAGTCTGAGCACCACGGCCAGAATCGGTCCAGCAACCAAAGGGTTAGTTTAGCCAAGCCCCGTGACCGCTGCTACAACACAGCGAAAGACGTATCCCGTCCCTATGATCGTAAGAAATATTTACGGCGACTGAATAAGCCAGTGATCAACCAATTTTACAGATTTCAGGTCACACAGCTCAAAGATTTAAACTACATAGAGCTATATATCATATTCTTCGAAGTGAGTACTATTTCTTCTTTTTACTGCAAACTAATAATCATTCGATTGTTATGACTCTGTTCATTTCAAACAGACATCGCCAGTAAACGAGCACGGCATCGTCTTTGGAGAGCCAGTGAAACGACCATGGTATGAGCGGTACCAGCCTGTAAGTTACAAAATCGGTACTCGGAGCGGCAACGAGACGCAGTTTCGTGACATGGTTCGTCGCTGCAACGAGGCCGGCGTCAGGTGAATGCGCAAGCGGACGTTTCTTTCTTTTTACCTTGGCTGAACATTTATTTTCTAGATGCAAAAACATAGTGGTATTACCAGAATCGCATCAGACGCCACTGTAAGGCGTGAGCTTGGTGCTATAAGTACCTTTACCGTCGGGAAAGGTATTAGCACTGTTACAATCATTTCAAAGCAAGTATTCCTGATAGTTACAGGTAGCTTTTGAACTCACTGTTAGCTGTTTCCATTGCTAGCCGTGAGTTCAAAAGCAACGTCACGGTCTCGCTGAGAAGTAGAGGGTGGAGCCGGAATCGCCAGGTCGAAAATAGAAGGATTGGTAAAAAAACAGAACCACCCCGCCAAAAAAGCAGCCAACTGCAGCAAAACCTAGTAAAACTTGCTGAAAGTGGCCACGCGTGTGTGATAAAAAAGTCTTTAAATGATTACTTATGAGAACCTTTTGGTGGAAGTGTACGTACGTTCGGGTGAGCGCTCGCTTGAAGCGAGCGAAATGGCGGTCTCAAGTAAAAAGTACGTGCGTGGGCAGCACACACTCTCGAGCTTCGCTAAATGCCGTGAGAAGGCAACGCGGTGCTGTTTTGACTTTAGTTTCGCGAAATGCTCCCCTAGCCTGTAATATTTTGACCGCCACTGTAGGTTATGCTGGGACAGTGTGCATCGATACTTAAGCTGAGAAGAGGTTAGAACCGAGAAGAAACAGAAAAAACGCCGAATTGAATTGTGAGATTTCGAAGCACGCCTTGGCCGTCATGTTTTACAACGCTTGCTCGAACAGAAGCGGCAGTGACGCCACAGGATCAAAAAAAAGTCAGTTCAATGTGAGGGGGGGGGGCACCAGATAGCATTAAAAATAGCCCCCAAACAGGCAGAACATTTAAGGCGCGAAGCTTCTAAAAGGGTGGCTCTGCCCGTCCCTTGTATGCATGTACGTGACCGCCTATGTATCCACTTTTGTTTCCTACTTCATACTTACAAACATCCCACTGCGCCCCATTACCGATTCCCCCCTTCACCGACCATAAAGCAAATACTGTTGAGAGGTAGCCAATATGAAATGCAAGATGGTCGTGTACACTCTTAATCAGGTCCCGTCTAAAGGAATAGGTATAGCAGGAAAGCAGGCATTTTTTCGTCTGATTTCCTGAATATCGCCAGCATTTACACAGGACCTGATTAAGAGTGTACTTGTATCCAGGCGCACGTTGAGAAACTGTGCTGATTCCTTGTTTATACGCGACCGCCTATAGTTCCGCCTTTACAAATTGCCCACTACTCCTCATTTTCGATCCGCCAATTAAATGACCACAAAGCCGCTTTAATGAAGAGGAAGCAAAAATTACTTATAGCTACCACTTGCGAATAATAAAATTTCTTGTTTAACTATACAGAGTGTCCGACATAACTTTAGCCAGAGTTTAAAAAAAAAAAACATGCCGGAGCTTGTAATCACGACGCGACCAAATGCGTGTTGCTTACCGTTGCCTGGAGTTAGACTATTTTTGCGTTCTCAAATATTGTGCAATTAGATATGTTTAATTAGCTAAATTTTCAAGAAACGAAGATAAATGAAAAATTAAATGAGAAAGTTGTAAATAAGTTAGCAAAACGTCCGATTAGAAAGCTTCGAACTTTATGTCGGTTATCTATTAATGTTTTTCTGCTAATTGCAAGTGCCTGCAAAATACAATAAGTACTACGTAGCAAACCCGCTTGCTCGCCTGTGCGCGTAATGATTCTAGTGCTCCATAACGTTCCGCATACGAACCGCTATAGCATTTGCCCCATTGTGCTGTCTCGGCAGGGCCGCAGGGATGGTGGTGGCTTTAGGATGAACAGGTTTTGCTATCGGCCACACAAACGACAACCACTGTGCCTGCTTATTGCTGTAATGAACCGGCGCCAGGGGAGCGTGACGTTCGTACGCAGTACGTTAGGGAGCACTAGAATCATCGTGCGCACTGACGCTCAGCGTGTTTGTCACGTGGTATTTTTTTCGCAGGCGTTTGAATTTAGCAGAAAAACACTAATACCTAACAGATATAGAGTTCAAAACTGTCTAATCAGACGTTTCGCAAACCGATCTACAACTTTCTCACTAAAAATTTTTATTTATCTTCGTTTCTTGAAAAGTTGGATATTAAACATATCTAATTAAACAATATCTGAGAACAAGAAACAGTCTGACCAACTCCAGGCAACGGTGAGAAACATACATTTGATCACGTCATTATTACGTGCTCTGGCATCTTTTGAAACTCTGGCTAATGTTGCATGGGACACCATGTATACAGTGTTTGTCCCGTCTTTGATGATGTAGTGGGTGATATTCGCGGATGGTTCACGGTTTAACACTGAAAACTTTCAGTGCTTCGCCCCGCTCATCATCATTCATTCGGTGGATAAGCTGTATTTTTTTTGTTCCTGCCACCACCGTAAAAGTAGCCAAATAGGCACAGCTTCGGCCAATGATGGCAATCCTGAGCGCAAGGCAGGGTCAAATAAATTAAAATTTCATTCGATCAGTCATGACACCTTTGTTTAGCAACAGTTAAGCAATTGGTGTGCTCATCAGTTGTAAACGTTGATTTCCCATTCACATTGCTCAGCGATCCAACTTTCAGCGCCCCGCGGTGGTAATCTAGTGGCCAAGGTACTCGGCTGCTCACCTGCAGGTGGCGGGATCAAATCGAGGGGCTGCGGCTGCTGCATTTTCAATAAACAAAATGCTGTCAACTTGCTTGCCTAAATTAGGTGTATACACCTAATCGGTGTATACACCTAAGGCACACGGATCGCTAAAGAACCCCACCATCGAAATTTCTGCAGCCCTTCACTACGGCGTCTCTCACAATCACATGATGGTTTTAGGACGTTATATCCCGCATATAAACCAACCAACCAATCAATCAATCAATCAATCAATCGTCAGCTTTTAGACGCGTTCTCAAGAGTACGCAATAGACACGCATTATTCCTAGTGTCAAATCATGAGTATTCTGAGTGCGAATGCTTCGATAAGTTGACTCACTTTTTCTCTTAGCAGAGCCATTTACTGCCTCGTTGTGGCATTATACCTTCGGTAACTTAGAGCGCCTTCGAATAAGGCGAACGGTTGAATCGCCTAATTCCCATTCAATTAACTCCGTTACTTTCAGTTCAAAAAAGTTGCCTCCGATTCACCTTAATACTGTCTTCAAATTGCACATTTGCTTCGCGTATGAGCCACTGCCCCACACTTTGCACTGCTCCCGTATTCGTCCAAACACTGGGGAATTCACTTTGTACGCGTCGTTTTACACCAGTCAAAATTTGCAGCCATATTTTGATTACCTCTAAGAGAGCAATTTTGATCAGCACGCGCGTGTAAGTCTGCAGCATGCCACCCGCGCTGGGACATCTCACCATATTCGTCTCCTGTGCGTCCGACGAGTGGCTTCTCTGCACAGCCGTTGAACATAATGGCTGGCCTATGCGCAACTCTGCTCCCGTTGCGATCATATACAGTGACTTAGAGCGCAAATTCTCTTGGTGTCATCTATAGGCGAGGTTAAGAAGCGCATCTCCTCTCCTACTAAGCACTAATCTGTGGTCTACCTAAATAAAAGTAAAGTTTCTCTCTCTTTTCTTGTCATAACAGAGCACTTATTTCACAATTACAATGGAACGCACATACTGGTGCACAATTCAACGTTTAACATCGTCACACTCAGCATAAGTTCTCACAGACTTCTTAAACAAATCATTATACTCCTTTTCTTGTCTTTCCACAGAGTGTACGTGGACGTAGTCATCAATCATATGTCTGGTCCTCTGCAAATAAAGAAGGGAACAGCGGGGAGCAGCTTCAATTACGACGAGTTTAGTTACCCAGCTGTACCGTATGGTCCCAATGATTTCAACAGGAAGGAAAAATGCAACAGTGAGTCAGGTACAATCGAGATTTACGGAGATGCACTGCAGGTAAGAAACTTGTCTAGAATTTGGCTTAATTCTTGAACATTTCCTATCGGCGTGTGTCGAGTACTCCGGCGTGTCTTTTACACTGTATACAGGTGTAAACACCGAAAATTTTGGACCGATTTTGTCGAAGGTCACGTATCGATTGCTTGAGTATTCTTTGTCGCGTAAAATTAGGAACGCCAATGTCATAACTAAAGCCTTTTTGTCAGTACAAACATAGCGAACAAGCAATTAATCATAAATAATAAATGTGCATTGTAAGTGGCAACACCATGATTTCTTTTCAAGCTTATCCTAATTACTAGTGCTGTTAAGCTGCAAGAAAAAAGTTGTGCATCAGATTGGCCGCAATAAATTAAAACTAACGTATTCGGTTTTTATCGTATAAAATGTCACGTTGTTTTACGCGTATGGTGTAAATGATATTTAGTTATATTTCTTCAGGCACATTATCGTCTGGTAGGAAAACATTGTTCTTCTGGCAAATTGAATGCACTTTTGTGATCACTTGGAACTCCAAAGAAGGGCTAAAGAGGAAGCTTAACCGAAATAGTAGAAGCAAGGCAACTACTTTACAATGGACAGAGTTGGCTAAGAGCATTGGTCTTATTGTACTAACTTTTTCAAAGCCGTCATCTGCGACTAATGTTGAAATGTTCGAGGAAAGCTAGCCACCCTTTGTAATGCTTCTTTTTACTTTTTAACAAAATTCACCCAACGTGCTTCTGGGTGCCATCTTAAGTGCACGCGTGAATTGCTCCTTTATTTGAACAATGTGTACTAGCTCCTTGCTGATAAATTAAGTAGCACACCAATAAAGTTGCAGTTACATCATTGGTACGTTCATACGCCCATTCACGTTTGTAGTGATACTCAAGCTATGATTCAGAGTGGATGTCTGAGCATGAGTACGCGAACGCGTTTACAAATTGCACTGGTTGGTAAAGGCCTGAGCATGTGCTATATAAATCTACCGACATCCCTTCTCGAACCACGACACTAAAAGCATGTTCCTTTAAATTTGGTAACATAGTATTGTTTTTATTCTGCTCGTTTATTTGCACTGTACTAAGGAAAAATAGAAGTATTACAGAGGGTGGTAATGCAACGATAAGTGCCGTGGGAATAAAACATAGTTTGTAACAAATTATTCACAACACACCTTCAAATAACTATAGGTTAGTACAGGCTCAATACGTAATCGCCTAGAGCAGTCTTGAGGGATGACGCGTACTGAATGTAGGAAATAATGAAAAGTGTAGGTGGTAGGTGGCTTTTAGTGTAAGGTAGGTGGTAAATTAAGGAAAGCGTCTTTTATTCGCACAAATGAGCGATTTGCTTCATAGTTACTGACCCCTTCAGCACTGACGGTTATTAAGGACGTTGATATTTGCCCCTTGGTACACAGTCTGTTCTCGCGTCAATTAAACTGACGCTCATTAATTCACAGACAGTCGCTCCCGGTTCCACATAATCAGAGATGTCGGAAATCAAACTCGTTCTGTCGATCATCACCTTTCGCCTATGCCAAACAGCACCAACCAACATAAAAGGATGTCGCCGCACTAATGAGCCTGTGATTAACACTTGGTGACTAGACATATAGTGCTAAAGGTACTCGCGCTCGCGAATTTTTGTTGCTGGCGCCTTTGAAAAACTCCGTCACGTTCAGGCGTTTACTCATTCATTCAATGAACCACTCACGCGGTGAAATAAATGCACGACTAAGAATGAAATCGTGTTCCAACCTGCGGCATTGGTTTCCATGTTACCAAAGGATGCGCAGGTAAATAAGTACAAATTGGTAGAGTGAACGTGGTAAGTTCATACATTATTTTGTCACAAAAGCACGTAACAATTGAGGAAGCTCCGATGCCTAATGCTAACATGACTTCAATGTACAACAGTATTTGCAGGAGACCATTGAGAAAAATTTCTCTGTATTGTACAATGACAATAAATTTGTTTTTGTTATTTGAACTGCGTGTTCGTTCGTTCTTAGCAGGTCTGTAGTTAAAATGAACTGTGCTTACACTCAAGATTAGTTCCATACAAGGGCTTATTGTCGCGCTGCAATGTTGCATTGTTGTAACGCTGTAGAGTACCTAGCTGTGTATAAAGGGATAAAATAATCGGGCAGTACGTAGCAACTACAGAGTAAGAGAAATCGAGTACTTCGCGACTATTTCTATCACACAACTTTATCGTCATTTAGCTCACGCAATTTCCTTGCGTTATCACTTATCGCCACGGTGCTGGCTGGCACTTCCCAGTCACGCACGGCGTATTCGCGTGAATCTAGTTTCGAAAAAATTATTGTGAGGAAACAAGTTGATGATTATGACTGTGTGCCAGAATTACATCCAAATACTCAATGCTTCTTTGGAATGTAGAAAAATCATATATGCTCATTTATTCACCACAGGTACGCAAGCTTTGAATTATACAGTCAGCGAGAGAGAATGTTTTGCACTAATGACATAACTACATTTCATCATCTGTGCTATGAAACAGTAAGCACATGTAGTTTCTTTCTTCAGCATTGTACGTATATGTAACACAAAATTCAGAATAGGTGGCGCGCTTTACGATTCAAAATGGCGCCCAGTGGAGGGTCAACTCCTTTGTTAATATAGCAACAGATTAGGCGCGTGGACGTACTGAGCTTGTCGCTTTCACCAAATAAAGTCATGACGTGCACTGAAACTTACATGAGACCAATATACTCTCCGAAACCATGAAAGCTCGCCACTGGGACATTTGCGCCGGAGTGAGAGGTGTGAAAGGCTTCGTTGCCGTGCATAAACGACGCCTTGCGAATTCCTATGCGTGTTACAGAAAGCTGCGCTTACAAGAGTTGACTTATGAAGTGAGCGGGTGTCCGAGCTCGTATGTGCCGAGCCTTGCTGACGGATTTGCCACAGTATTAGGCCTCGGGATAGTACCGTCATCACAGATGCACAGAACCGAATGTTTAACGTGGTGAAGGTTTGCAAGCTTATATTACGCAGTCGTCATTACTTGTGCTGGCAGGAACATGAAGTTGCTTCTTCAACGATGCATGAGCATTTAACGTCCCATTACGTCGGGCGTGTGTCACAGTCATCTTCAGACACTAACCGTGCGCCGTTCACTGGACTCGGAAGTTGCAGGTTTCAAAGGCACGATCGAAATATCAATACCGGAAACACACATTCTTTTCGCAATTTTGAAATCTCAATAATTAGTCGAGAAACAACCCTTTTCGGAAGCTACAAGTAGTAGAGGAGAGGTTGGCAGGGGTGCTTAGACTGTAGCCGTAATTGCATGTTTCATCGCTGTAACCATCTCGCTTCACTGGTCGAGCTCGAGTGTGTTGGCAGCATCCGGCGCTCCATAATACCCACAGTAATTGTGCTATATGCAATGCTAAAGAAAAACTGTTCTTTTATTTTCACCTAGCTAAAGGATAGTATACGTTAAATACAATCAAAATGACTTAGGAGCGTGAAAAATTATTAACGCACGAGGGAACGGCATGTGCAACTCGCTCCTTGTGAGTTGCACATCAGATTTATCGTGTCACGGCGGGTCCCGTTTGCTCACTGATGCAAGAAACGTGCAGAGTGGTAGTGTTCATTACTCTCCTACGCGTTAACACTGAAGGTAGCACAGCTACACGAGGGAGCGTCGGCCTATATCAACCTTGAAAGGACGCTCCCGCATTCCGCTTGGTAGAGCGATAGTCTATGGAGATTGCGAATACTTTGGAGTGTACATAAATATTGCGCGTAGCTGACTGTTATTCTACAAATCTTTTTTAGATATCCGAGCAATTCAGGGGGTATTTACCTTGTATCACAGGTGCGCAACTGTGAATCGGTCGGACTTCGGGACTTGGACTATGGTAAAGATCACGTTCGAGCCAAGATTTCTGAGTTCCTAAATCAACTCATCAGCTTTGGCGTAGCCGGATTTCGCGTCGATGCCGCCAAGCATATGTGGCCTGTCGACTTGAAAGTCATCTACGGAAAGCTTAATAACCTCAGCACAGAGTTCTTCCCTGCAGGGTTCAAGCCATTCATCTACCAGGAGGTGATCGATACGGGCCACAACGAACCCATCACCCACTGGGAGTATATACCAATGGGCAGAGTGATAGAGTTCCTTTACGGCGCCAAGTTAGGTAAGTGCAGAGTCCAACAGGGCTATCATATTGTCGATTTCAATGTACAGACAAAAAAAACACTGCTGCGTTCCATGCTACTAAACACAGGATCTCGGCCACTTCATATTACACTGTAGATAGTTCAGTAATAGTGTCTACTGACGACTTGCAAGTACTGAACAAAGACTATCGAACATTTGTTGGTCGGGCTGAGCGCTAGACGACGAAAATGTGAAATGCGTCTACACTCTCAGTCAGGTGCCGCATAACGAACGGCATATAGGTGGCGCGCTGCTGCGTACTGACTAAAATGCCGTTTCTAGGCAGCCCGGCAATAAAAATATACCCGTGACAGCCGCGCGCCGCGGAAGTAACGCATAGAGCCGGTGAGAGCAAGCGCAAGAAGGGACAAAAAAGAAAAGAAGGGGAAGAGCCGCCGTTTTTGTCGCGCCAGCCTGGCGCCAGGAGCCGGCATAAACTGATGCAGAACCGTGTTCAGCCACAAGCGCGAGCGCGAAAAAAAAAAACGCCCCCCTCGCCCCCCCCCTTCCGCCGCCAAGCCGGCGTCACGTTCACCGTCACCTGCATGACATGTCATTTGTGCGTCGCCGTTTCGTCCCGCTGTCTTGCGATGGTCGCTTTCTACAAGATGGTCTGGGACGGAAACATTTTCAGTGCAATACGGCACACCTTATTCAAGGTATCATACATTTCTTTGTTTTTGGGCAAACGCTGGGATCTGCAGCCCCATTTTTACTCTTTTGACTTCAATAAAAGAGTACAAACAACTTTCCCTTCATCAGTAGTCGAGGTATGACATTGTGTCATGAACTAAATCAAAGAGGACTAGTGCATGCGCGACAGCTTACTGAAACACCGGCCTATGTATGTGGATGTTTATGTTCTACGAAACAAGTTGAACTGATGATTTTAGGAAAGCGTGACAAAAAAGAAACAAACCGAAGGCAGCGAGACAGAGGAAGGTCAATATTGAAAATCGATTGATCGATGTTTGATTAGTAGTTGCGTAATTTGAAGATGAAAATTAAGTACAGAAGTCAGGTGCAGAAGTCAGCAGGAGAGCGTATGCCACCGACATTTGCTCACTCTTTTGAATAATAAGTACTGTTCTCATATTACAGAATGGATTTGTAACAGTGAACCATGACCATGACAACCACTGTACTGCTGTGGAGATAATGTACCAGCTATAAAATCCCCATTTTTGAAAATCAACTGCAAGCAGTAACAATAAAGATTTTGAGGGTCGTTCTGCACCATTTCTTGACCCCAACTGCACGCGAACGTTTGCGAAAGAGATGTGGAGAAGCATTATTTATTTGGAGGGAGACCGACCTGTCCATCGCTAATTTGTGTACGTCCGTTTGACTTTGACGCGCATTTCGGCATTCACTTGAACAGCGGTGTGATGCTGAATAAATGTAAGAGCATGCCCAATCCTCATAAATAATATCAGTTAAACACTGCAAATGAGTAAAAACAACTCTATATCGCGAAATATTCCGCATAAATTCTACTTGCAGAAATAAGTAATCGTCGAAATGCTAAAACGGCGCTGCTGTCATAGCGTGCAGCTCGCTGCAGTTCGCGCGTACGACATGCAAATGTTAGAGTAGGCACGCTAAAATACCCATGCAGCGTTTACATGTGAAAGCGCATAGTCTTCAACCAACTGAGAATAGGCTACTGTCTTTGACACGCGTGTACCCCCCGATACAAATCAGCGAAATTTTTCCCAGCACACGCACATGCCAGAAACATACGCAGGTTTTGACAGCCCAACACAGCCTCGTCAGCGAATTTCGATGAGCGTAACATCCGCAGTTCACGGGAAGCTCTAAAACGACGCACAAACACACGTTAATCGTTCTTCCAGAATGGCGCACCGTGGGCTGAAGTCGGAGCCGGAAGCACTCACCGTGGTTTTCTGGAGTTCACGAAGCCATACAATTTATTCGCCGTCAAATGCATGCACAAGGCACAAAAACAGTTCAAGGTTCCGTCGCAGTTTGCAAAAAGCCACTTCGTAGATATATACCCTGCAAAAAGACTCGCCATCATGCGGTGGCGCTGTGGTGCAATGGGTAAGACATATGCTTCACGAGCATGCAATCCCGAGTTAGATTCAAGGGCTGTGTGTGATTTACATAAAAATCTTGCAGTTGTAGGTGATTGAGATAATAATGGTTTTATAATTACCGGTTGTCACAATATCCGCCGCATTATCGGCGAGGAGTCGCTCTTAAAAGCGTAAATTGATGCTTCCTTTTTCACCACCACCTCAGGGCCGGACCGGCTACGGAAATATCACGCTTCACCGCAGGCCATATCTTGCCAGGAAAAAAATTACGAAATAACCACAACTAGTCTTTGCCCGGCTTTTCTGAAGATCACTTCAAATCAGGCCGGTTTCTCTGGGACGCGGATACGGAGCCGCGTAGAAGTGGCGATTGACATGATTTACTGCCTGCGGGCGCGTAGTCTAGCCAGGATTTGACTAGATAGAGTGACTGAAGGACTATGAAGACTGTTTTCAGCTAGCTCAAGAGTCGCTGATTCAGGCCCGTATTCACAAACGCTCCTTCACTCAAGGACTCCATCGTCACAGAAGAAAGCCGTGCAAGCGCTACTGGGCTTCTTGCGAACTACTGGCCTGTCGGAACGCCTATGAGTGGACTGATCTTGTGCGTGCGTGTGTGTCGGTGTTTTTCTCTTATTTATTTTTTAACTCTCCCTTTCTCTTTCAACCCCCTATTCCCCAACCCCAGTGTAGGGTAGCATACCGGATACCAGCATCTGGTTAACCTCCCTGCCTTTCTTTTTTCTCGTTTCTCTCTCTCTGTCATTCAAGGGCTCCCCTCGACTTGACAATGTCAAGGCGGAACGTGCTCCTCCAGTCAAGGGGCCGATGCGTTTCATGAACGCTCCTCCACACTTCCTTCGCCAAGGGAGGCCTTGGAAATGCTCCCTTCACTTGAGTGAATGGCATGCACCGAGAAAGCACCTGATAACGAGAGTATTCGTAATTGTGGTTAAGAATCGTCTATCTCTGTATAATTAAAGAACGCTTTTTCTAGTTATTCTTTTTATATAAATTGACATTGCAGCAAAATACATGCGTTTAGAGTAGTAGCGTGGTTTCCCTTAGGCCGTATTCACAAATGCTCCTTTACTCAAGGGCTCCCCATGACTTGACCATGTCAAGGCGGAACGTGCTCCTCCAGTCAAGGGGCCGATGCGTTTCATGAACGCTCCTCCGCACTTCCTTCGCCAGGGAGGCCTTGAAAATGCTCCGTTCACTTGAGTGAACGGCAGGCGCCGAGAAAAGCGCCTGATAACGAGAGTATTCGTAATTGTGGTTAAGAATTGCCTTTCTTTGTACAATGAAGAACGCTTTTTCTAGTTGTTCTTTTTTTATAAATTGACATTACAGCAAAATACATGCATTCAGATTGGTAGTGTGGTTTCCCTAAGCCTTGTTCAGGGAGAGTTAGCGAAACCCCGCTTCAAGTCTCGCAAACGTCGCATCCAGGCAGCTGAACGAACAGCTGATGTCGTTTTGTCTGCTGCTGAAGGTGTCTACCTGCTTAGTTTATTTTGTCTTGTATGCGTCTATTAATTGCAGTTTATATTTACGGTACAGATTCTGCATGTGTGTCGTTTGAGAGCCTACTTTCGCCGGGGTGACTAACGAACTGCGTTGGTGGTCACAGGAAGCACAACAGATGGTTTGTTGCTGTGTTTACTTTCGCTTTACGGAGATCCTTCTGATCACTGATGTAGCCACCGAATGTATAACGCGGGGGAATGAGTATTGTTTACTATATATCACATTATATGGGCGTGCTTTCAGAATTCACTACCGCATTATGTATAAGGATTTCTCGTACGTAAATTCATTCTCGCTACAGGAGTATGTGCACAGTTCCTAATTTCACGGGCCTGTGCACTGTTTATTTTTCTCATTTAAGCGAATTTCAACGTGACGTGGACCTTTCGTAGTTGTTTCCTCTGGGTATAATAGAAAATTTGGAAGACATTGCTCGCAACTGATATTCAAGGTTATCCCAGGGTAGCGTTAAGAACTAAGCATGTTATACACGTGGCAAAGCGTTTGAATTAGAGTGCTACGCAAGTTAAGAAAAACAAACGTGTGCCTTTCTTTAACTATTGGCGAAAAATACATTTTAAAGTTGTTTTTTTTTCATTCAGCAGCATATATAGTCGGTTAACAGGGACTGGCGTGTGTGTGTCAACTTTAACATTTTAAACTTCCAAGAAATCAGTTATTGTTTTTGCATTGTTCTTCTATTTACCCTGCATTTGTGGATGCGCATAATTTGACAGAATCGAATAGACGTAACCTTTAAATCTGTGTAGCTTCCATCTCCAAGCTCACACAGCGGCAACGTCCTATATTGTTTTCCCGTCTTCTTCATCTTCAAGCTCAAAAGCACATTTGTTAGTGCATCAGTGACCTTCGCACTAATGTTTTGGCTTTTATTTGCAGAATATGATTGCTGGGAATACCTGTTGAAAAAGATCGTGGTGTCCGTGCTGAATTCCAAAGCCCCGGTACTTCATAATTTATAGGAGATGTTTTATTATTTTGGAAATCATAACCCTGAAGCCGCGACTGGTTTTTGGCGCTGTTCTGTTTTGAAAACGATCGTGTGGGTTCTCTCGACCTTGGAGAGAGTGTCCTCAAGAAGCAGCGCATTTTACTCTGCTGATTTAATGAAGACCAGTTCAACAAAGCGGTGAAAAATGCTCAAGAGTATATTGCAATCATCGCGAATACATCTGGTCAGAACCCCGTAAATAAAATATCCGCTATTGCTACATTATTAGCACGTCTGCCCGTGAGAACAACGCCATCTCAGTTCTCAGTTCCGTGGAAGAGGAGTGGGGCTGCTTTACGCAAAACAAGTTTGATTATTGTAGAACTGCTTTCCTGTAGAATTGGAGAGGTGGTTTTGCAGTCCTGTCTAATCACG